GAAAAGACTACATTGTGATTTTTCAAGCAGAGAACAGAAACTACAAAGTAGGACCTAACACAAATTCTAAAACCAAAAAGAAAAAAGAATAAACAAAACTCAAAACTATGTATGAACTGAGTGATTGGTTTATACCAGATTAGACACACTGAAAGAAAAATATCAGTGAACTAGAAGAGAGTTCAGAAGAAAATACCCGGAATGACACATGAGAAATAAAAGGCTAAATACAGAAAAGTGAGTATAATAAAATATAGAGTATATATATAATTTGAGTTAGAGGAGTAAAGACAATAGGCAGAAACAATATTTGAAGAAATACAGGCTGAAGCTCTTCTGCCATCAGTGAAAATTGAAGTATCCCTATGAATTCCACCCAGAATAATACAAAGAAAACCACACAGAGGCCTAACGAATTGCTGAAAAACAAAACCAAAGAGAAAAATCTTGAAAGTAGATAGATTCCTTTTAAAGGAGCAATAAGATGGAGAGTGCTGAAATGGAAATATGGCAGAAAAAGAAGAAGAAAAAGCAAGCCAGGAAAAACTCAGGCCCCTTGATGACAATGTTGAGACAGCAGATCTCTAGACTTCTTGCTAACAATAAATGTCTTTATAATCCAAAGCACAGTAAGTAGTCAGATATTGTTATTTGCAGTAGAAACTATTCCTGATATTCTATGTTTAATAGAAAAGATAGAAAAAATAGTACATATACAATATATAAAATGATATTTAAAGGTATACTTTGCGAGAATTTTCCTGAATTAAAAAAAGACATGATACCTCAGATTGAATACTGTAGATACTGAGCAAGAGGGAAAAAGTATTGTTTGAGTCTTTATATTTATACCTGGATTCAGCATAATAAAGCTACAGAAGACCAAGGTATGAGGGGGAACCCAAAAAAACCCGTACTTGTTTTAAAAATTGTGTATTATTCTTACATGTTCAAAGTACTCTCCGTTTGATGTGATTGATATAACTATCAGAACACTTTTTTTCCACTGCTCAAAACAGTTTCTGAACTCATCAGTTTTGATGCCTCTTTGTGTTTCTGCTGTTTTTTGTTTCACCTCTTCTACATTGGCAAAATGTTTCCCTTTGAGGACTTTTTTCATCCAGGGAAACAAAAAAAATTGTTCGAGGCAAGATCAAGTAAATAGGGATGGTAGGCCATAGGGGTTATGCCATTTTTGGTCAAAAATTGTTGAACACTCAGCATGGGCAGGGTGCATTGTCATAGTGAAAGAACCAGTCACCTGTTTGACACAACTTGGGACACTTCTTCTGCAAATCATGAGGCAACCTTACCAAAAGTTCCAAATAAAAACTGTGATTGACCGTTTGATCCGGAGGAACAAATTCTTAGTGTACTATAAGAAGTTCACCCTCTAAAAGATACTTCCAGTTTTTGGGGGATTCTTCCTTGTATAAGATAAAATTTTGAAGGCTATTAAGAGGAAGACAGTCTACTTATAAAGAAATAAAAATTAGACTCATTAATAAAACTTCTCAGCCTGGTGTGGTGGCTCATGCCTGCAATCCTAGCACTTTGGGAGGCGGAGGTGAGAGGACTGCCTGAGCCCAGGGGTTCGAGACCTACCTGGGCAATTTGACGAGACTTCATCTCTACAATAAATCAAAAAAATTAGCCAGGCCTGGTGGCGTGTGCCTGTAGTTCCAGCTACTTGGAAGGTTGAGGCGGAAGAATCACCTGAGCCCAGCAGGTTGAGGCTGCAGTGATCATTAGCGTGCCACCACTGCACTCCAGCCGAAGCAACAGACTGAGATTCTGACTCAAAAAAAAGAAAAGAAAAAGAAAAACTTCTCTAGCTATAAAGCTTTGATTAAAAAGAAACTCATTTGTATACCTAACCCTGAATTGTACCCCACATCTTTAAAACAAACAAAAGAAGTATTGAAGACAATTTCAATTTCAACTAGGAACATATATTTAAACATTCTTAAAATATTATAACAGAATTTAAGATTGTATACAAAAACTCACAACTAAACAAGTTCATCCAGCAAGGATAATTCAAAATTAGAAAGTTAATTAATGCAGTAAACTACATTTTCATATTAAAGAAAAAGTACATATAATTATTTCAACAGATGCAGGAAAGCCATTCATAAAATTTAATAATGATTTACAATAAAAATCTGAGCAAGGTAGAGAGGTAGAAGTTTGACAGGATATCTACCAAAAACAAAAAGGAAACTTCATACTTAATTGTGAGACTTCATAAGCATTCCAATGGAAGTCAGGTCCAATACAAGGATGCTGGCTATCTCTTCTGGTTTATTTGTAAATGATAGAATTGTTTACATGGAACTCAAAAGCATTTCAACCAAACCATTAGAACAAATTAAGAGTTTGACATTATGCTGTACATATTTATATTTGGAAAAAATCAATAGCATTCTGACAATTCCAGTTAATAACCAACTCAAAAATGTAAAAGAAAAAAAAGCCCATTTATAACTGGGACAAAAAAATTTATAATTTAGAAATAAAAAATAAAAGATGAGAAAGAAATTTCATGGAGGTAATTATAAAACATTATTTAAGGCAAAAAAGATGACCAAAATTCTCATCTGCTGTAGTTTATGCACTATTCATGGACAGAAGGACTACTTGACCCATAAATTCAGTGCAGTTCCAATAAAATCCCAATAAGTCTTTTTATAAAGGCTAAGTGTAACAAAGGAAATTATGAAGAACAGCAATATGTGGAGACTCTTGACATACTAGATATCAAAACTTATTATAAAACTCTTTCATTAAGACAGTATGATGCTAGCATAAAAATGGATTAACAGACCAATAGCACAAGTCAGAAATTGCCCAACATAGAATCACACATTTAGGAAAATTTGATATGAGACAGATGTCATTACAAACTAGGATGGAATAGACTGCTCAACAAAGGGTGCTGGGACAATTAGTTATGCACACAGAAAAAAGTTAGATTGCCTACTTCACACTGATCTCTGTATGAAACCAATTCCATGTGGATTAAAGATATAAATGTGAGAGCCAGAACATTAAAAAAAAAATAGAAAAAATTTCCTGATCTAGATAGAAAGGATTTCTTAGCCAAGGCAAAAGTACAAACAATAAAACATGATGATTTTGGCCATATTAAAATAAAAAGCACCTGTATAACAAATTGAACATAAGGAAGACAAGCCAAAGAGTGAAATATATCAGCAAAACATACAAACAAAAAAGGATTAGTAACAACAATAAAGCACTCTTACAAGCTGATAAGCAAAGATAAAGCCAATGGAAAAATGGGCTACAGAAAAAACAACCAAAAAAACCTAGATATATAAAATATATAATATAGTAATATTTAATTATAAATAGTATATAAGATACATTCTCATTTAATATGTTTTTAAACTTTAGCTATAAAATATGTATAATTCACACATACCTAAGTACTAAAGAATAAAAACACTGAGTAACACCAAAGAAGGACAACGATTACCAATGGAAAGAAGAAAAGGAGACTTTAACTGTTTCTCTAATTTTTATTTTAAAAAATGTGATGCAAATCTGACAAATATTAAGTTGGATGGTGAATACACAAGTATTATCTTTTTTCTTATTTATTTATTTATTTTTTGGAGTTGGGATCTCATGTGTCACACAGGCTGGAGTGCAATGGCACAATCATGGCTCACTGCAGCCTAGACCTCCTGGGCTCAAGGCAATCCTTCTGCCTCAGACAGGATTTTTAATAGGGATGAGGTCTCGCCATGTTGCCTAGGATGGTCTTGAGCTGTTGGCCTCAAGCAATCCTCTTGCCTTCCTCTCCATAATGCTGGGATTACAGGTGTGAACTACCACCCCCGGCCACAGGTATTATGTTACTCTCTATTAGTCTCTATGTGTTTAAAATATTTCATAATGAAAAAAGTGGGGAAATGATTAATTTTACATAAACATAACTTTAGCAGGTGCAAAAATAAAATCTCTTTCGTCCACTTTCATCCAAGTCGTCTGAATGAAAAAAAAAGGGTCATAAAAAAGGTAGCAGATAATGTCACCCTGGTTTCACAGCGTAATTAAAGCTAATTACTTGTTATGTATCTATCATTATTGCATTAAGTAGTTACTGTGCTAAAGCATTTTAGCGTTTAAACAGATTTCAGAACATAGTAGAAATATATTCCAACATGTCGGGGATTTCATGCGTTAGGAAAACCTACAATAGTAGGTCATTTGACATTCGAATCACGCTATCTGAATTAAGATGTCCGTGTCTACCAAACACAAAACAACTCCCAACTCCGTGTGTTTTAACCTTTTAAAGTTGTACAACTATTTGACACCGATGAAAAGCAAAACTAATAAAAAACTATAGGCTTCAGGAAACTACTTTTTTTTTTCTTCTTCCACACAAAGGCCATCCGTAGGCCTCAGATTTAAAACTCTCGCTTTCAAGTTCCTTCTCCAAATCTCAATCCGAAATATTAGCTGAGTCCAGCTGGGAAAGAAGGCAAAGTGTACACGGGCTTGGGTTCCGGTTGCGTAAAACCTTTTGGGCTGTCACCAACTTCTCGAGATGTTGTTGATAGCTTTCACGAGAGACTTTGCTCTCTGCGCCGGGGGCTGGGCAAATGCTGCTCTCAGCCGCTATAGATCGAAAGTCTAAAGCGTTAGGGGAGGTCAGGCAGTTCTGTCAAACGTCCGGTAAACAGAAAGGGGCAGGAAGCCGCCCCTCTTTCTTCCAAGCACAGGGACCCACAGAGGCGTCCAGGAGCTCCCCCCAAAAGGTCGCTGCCTAGAGCTGCAGTGTCGGAAACAGCTGTCCGACAAGACACCCCCTGAGTAGGCGCCCCAGCTCCACCTCGACCCCCCACCCCAAGGCTGGTAGCCGACAGCAAGGGTAAGGGTAGACCTCCCCCAACAACCGCCTCAACCGCCTCCTACCCAGTCCTTGCTCCGGTCCCCCCAACTCACAGCCTGAAGAATCCCACACTCACTGAAAAGTGGGGCCTGGGCCTGTTCCTGGCCCGGCACCCGGAATTCGGCGGGTCTCCCAGGGTTTCGGGGGAGGTGGCGGCTGAGACGCCATCTCCTCCACCTCCGTTCGTCTCCCGCTCCTCGCCTGGACTGTCCAGGCCTCGGTACGCTAACACCTCGAGCGCCAGGCACAACGGGAAGCACACCGAGCCTTCCACCGCGCCCACCTCTGTAGTCACGACAGAGCTCGTGATGCCTTGCCAGCTGGACCAGAGGGGCAGGAGGACGTCACTCACTTATGGGAGGGAGCGTTCTCTTTGTATATGCCCTAGGATGAGTTTCTGTTCTAAACCAGAAGGTAAGGGTTCATCGATGTTTCTGGCAGCGGCTACAGTAGCCTAGACGTCGGAGTCCCACGGAGGCTTCTCTGGGTTTAGACCCCTCAGGCCTGGAGTCAATGTCCCACGCATGCCTGCACAAGCGAGGGAGGTGGAGTGTGAGTTGGCAAACCCGACAGTTTTACCGATTTCCCTACAAACAAGCAGGGGGAAGTTCACACTCTCGAGAAGGGACTGGTACTCTTGTTCTAAAGCTCTCGTTTCCTCGGGGAACGGAATTGCTAGACGCAATAGGTGCGTTGTCTTTAGTCTTCCCTGTTACCTTCGAGGGCCGGAAGGGGTTAAATCTCAGGCTACAGCGTCTTGGGAACAGGTGAGGAGGGCTGGTCTGAGGTGAAGGGGTGAGGACTGGGCGCTAGAGAGGTGTGGCAGGAGGGGGTTGTTTCCCTCCTGTTGGAGCCGCTTTGTTAAGAGGGAGGGGTGAGTGGGAAGTTTTTTGGATCTGGTGAAAGGGGAAGGGCTTCCTTGGCCAAAACTGAGGCTTGAGATTAGACCTTGGGATGAACTTTTCAAGAGACCGCGGTAAATTCCATAGCTGAGGGTATCCGTAGCCCAATGAAATTGTGATCGCCCCCTTCCCTGGAAACCCACACTCCACCCCCACCCACGAGACAACTGACACTCGTCGGTATGGAAATGAGTTTTTAAAAAATCTCAAGATGTGAGACTCAGTCTGGTCATTGTGGTTGTCTTTCGTACGCTCTGCTGCTTCCCTCGTCTATGCTTTTTGTAGTCGTCCCCGAGCTGACAAAGTCTTCCTCTACTCCAGGAAGCCAGAGGAACTGGACTAGTTATCGTTGGTTGGTGGAGAAGGGATTCGGTCCCATTAGGGAGCCTGACACGTGGGAGACGGGTTTGTTGCAACTTGTTTCCAAGTTCTTTCTGTAAATCAAACACGTAAACGAAAAAGCAGAAATCTTAACTATGGTAACCAACGCTGGAAAACCTACAGTGCGGGATGCGTTTCTCAAAACTTGCTTTCAAAGATAATAAATTTCATATGGAGTAACTGATATCTTATGAAATCCTGACATTTTGTTACATAAAAATGAAACAACCCATATAAGGTGCAACATATTTCCTTTTAATGTTAACGTGCTTGAGAAGTCGCTAGATTGTTGCTAGGTGAAAATGATATCGAGAGGTTTGTATGTCCATAGCTCATTTATTAACACCACACGCATTCAAGAGGGGTGTGTGTGTGTGTTTAGACCTCTTCAAAATACACCAGACAGGAGGTTTTGCAATTCTCAACAGGTTTGGGAACTTCTCAGAGCCAGGAGATTGTAATGTGTCATGTATTGACTTTAAAATGTTACCTTTGTTCTAGTGAACCTGTTGGAGGAATAAACATCCCGTCTTTAAGCCAGAGAAAAGAGAGCATAAATTTTAATACAGCTATTAAGTCCCCAGGGAAATCTCTGCCACTAAGCGTCCTTTCAAGCATTTATTCATTGATTTGTTTATTTGTTTCTCTTTTTGAGTTAAAGGTTAATTTTGAATTAAATAAACATCCTTGATCTTAAGTTATGAATAGGAGGAGAAAAAATAGCTTAAAATAGCAGGTGAAGCAGAAGCAGCTTCTCTGAGAAGAGTAGTCAGGGATGCCCTTTAAATGCTCGTATTCAGTCCCTCGTAGAACCTCTTCAATCCCTTCTCTGCATCAAACTAACAGATTAATTGAACTGGAAGAAGGGAATCAGATCACTTGACCATACAGAGCTTTATTACGTACTTAATATTATTTATCATCATTATGTGTTATTATTATTAGAGCTTTACTATTTAGAGAATGTACTCTACATATTCTGTATACTTTCTTGAAAAGACCCTGGGGCCCAGATTTACTTAAGCAACCCTAAATGTGTGTTTCTCAGTTCTGGTGTCTAAAAGTTCTCACTGGTGTGTTCTTTTTTTTTTTTTTTTTTTTTGAGTTGGAGTCTCACTCTGTCGCCCAGACTGGAGTGCAGTGGCTGCCCCCGGTCACCGCAGCCTCGACCTGCTGGGCTCCGGCGATCCTTCCGCCTTAGCCTTCTGAGTAGCCAGAATTACAGGCGTGCACTACGACGCCCGGCTGATTTTTTGATTTATTGTAGAGATGAGGTCTTGCTGCCCAGGCGGGTCCCGAACCCGCGGGCTCAGGCAATCCACTCACCTCAGCCTCCCAAAGGCGCGGGATTACAGGCTGAGCCACTGAGCCCGGCTCACTGCTGTGTTCTTACAAGCCTAGTTTTCTTCTCTTCATCTCCTACCTGACTCACATATTCGCCTGAATTAGAACTGAGCCAGAGGCAATCTGTTTTTGTAGTCTTGGCTACTGAGCTGGTTTTTATGGTGAGGAGTTCTAATAGAACTGTATACCTGCCTTCTTCATTATTTTGTGTCAAGGATCTACTTCTCTTGGTAAGTGACCTCAAACATTTAGAAATTTACAGGTAGGTAGCAAGTATTAAAGGGTTGGAAAACGTAGATTCTAAGAATCACATCTTCCTAGTCAGCTATTGGTAAGAGCTTCACCTTTCTATTAATTCATTTTAATTATGAAACTGCACAAAATAAAAGGTGGCGCTGTCTTTTGTCTGTATGACCACAGCTATACCATGTCAGAGGATTGTTGTTTTATAAAATATTGGCAGTTCGTCATTTTAAGGTATCGTGGACTGTTTAATCAGAAAATCTGTTTTTGTCAAACAGAGTGATTAAGTTGTTTTAATTTTTTTTTTGAGTTGGAGTCTCACTCTGTTGCCCAGGTTGGAGTGCAGTGGCACACTGGCAGCCACCCAAGCATTGACCTGCTGGGCTCTGGCAATCCTTCTGCCTCAGCCTTCCAAGTACTGGAACTACAGGTGTGCTCTGCCATGTCCAGCTAATTTTTGATTTATTGTAGAGACAGGGTTTCACCAAGTTGCCCAGGCTGGTCTTGAACCCACAGGCTCAGGCAAACCACTCGCCTCAGCCTCCCAAAGTGCTAGGATTACAGGCTGAGCCACCCAGCCCGGCCAGGTTGTTTTAATTTTTATTACCCCTCTTTCCTGGCAACAGGAGATTTATACTCTGATTTGCCTCAGTTCTCTATGGGGTATTATTTTTTCTAAGTGAATTTATTCAAATTGCAGAAATTGACAACTTAATTTGGCAAATAAAATATTTTGCACTTAATTTGTTTTTGTTGGATGTTTTACTCATGGATGAAAGGAGCAGATTTTTCTTATTTTGCTAACAGCTGGTTACTGTTTAGCCATTATATCATCAAAGTAAAGTTGATGCTTTGGACTTACTGATCAATGTGATTTAAATACTTGACTGTTAAACTTTTTTTTTTTTTTTGAGTCAGAATTTCACTCTGTTATGCAGGCTGGAGTGTGGTGGCATGCTCATGGCCACTGCAGCCTCAACTTACTGGGCTCAGGTAATGCTTCCACCTCAGCCTTCCAAGGAGCCAGAACTACAAGTGTGCGCCACCACGCCCAGCTAATATTTCTTTATTGTGGAGATGAGGTCTCTCTAAGTTGCCCAGCCTGGTCTCAACCCCTAGGCTCAGGCAATCCTCTCACTTCTGCCTCCCAAAGTGCCGGGATTACAGGCATGAACCACCTTGCCCAGCCTGCTAAACTATTATTAAGGGTAGTCAAGTATTATATATTGTAGACTGATCAGATTTTTTTCTAGTATGGGGGCCGGGGAAGTTTTCTGAAAAAAATCTCTGACTCAAGGCAGATTGATTAATAGGAAAAAAGCAACAAATTTCTTTAACATGTACACATAGGAACCTTCAGAATGAAGACCCAAAGATATTAGGGAAATTGTCCATAATTATGCTTAGGTCCAACAACATGGGCAGCCATGTAGAAATATGATTTGACAGAAAGGTTATAACTTGATGGTAATAGACTGAGTGGGGAACCCAACAAGGCCTGTCTGTCTAGATTCTTCTTGGCCTCTCTGAGCATGCGCTCCTTTTCAGGCTTTGTGGGGTGGGGGAGGGGGTGTGGAGCAGGACCCAAACTGGAATGGGAGTCTTATGTTCAAGCATGGTGGTTAGATCATTTCTTGATGGCCAGTTTTTATATAGAAAGGTAAAGGGATGGTTAGAGTAGTATTTCAGGCTTCACGGTTGGCTTTGGGGCAAAGAGGCTCTGGTTTCTTTGACCCACCTTTGGGAAGAGGGCTACTAGTTTGTATGGCTAACCTCGACAGAGAACGGGACTGAGACACCAGAGGGCAGGAGAATATCGGAGAGAAACTTTTGCTTCTGAGGCTGCTGCTAGGGCTTTCATTTTGGACCTTGTTTTCTGAGCACAACACTAGCAAACTCTTAATTTCTAATATGAAAAGTTTAATGAATTAACTCTGTGTTTTCAAACAATGCTAAATGATACTAAACAAAAAGCAAAATTTCACTGTGTACTTTTGTTTTCATTACCCTTCTCAGAGGCAACCATTGTTCATCCTTTTTCTTTTGATCAACTTATTGATCAAATAAACTTATTGATGTACTTTATCATAATCCTGAATGCTAAACTAAATTCCTTGACAATTAGAAACCTTTACCTTATTCATCTTATAAACTTCCTTCAAGTTATATTTTGGAATGTGCATATAATGAAAGGGGCTTTATTAGTATGAAATAGTGTTTTCCAAATAAAAGCTAGTTTTTATCCATGATAAGGATGACATATTTGTCTATGACAGTAAAACACAGCAGCTCATTAGTTTTACTTTTCTTTCTTTTTAGTTATATTTACTCAGTATGTTTCCACTGACTGAGGAAAACAAGCATGTGGCCCAGTTGTTGTTCAATACTGGTACCTGTCCAAGATGTATCTTCAGATTCTGTGGTGTGGATTTCCATGCACCTTACAAACTTTCATACAAGGTATTTTCATCTTTCTTAAGTTGAGAGGTTCTATATTTTACAGTGAATACCTGTACTTTTGAGAACAAGTATCTATCCATAACTCTTCTTTAAATAAATAAAAACTATAATAAAATAATTACCAATAATGGTAATTTTGGAATTGCAATTACCCTTTAAAAAATTCTCAGAAATGTAAGTTTCTTCTTAAGTAATTACATCTATAGAACATGCAGTGTAGTGAATCTTTGTGGAGGAGTTCCCTGGTGCATTTAATGTTTGCACTAAAGGGTGTCTAACCAGAATATCACAAAATATTGCTTCTCACCAGTAAGATGTAACAGAAGGGGTAACAGTCCTGATATATTTTGCTAAGTGTAAGCATTGTGGGTAGGATTGCCTTTTTGGGTTTTTTTTTTTCTTCTATTTTCTATATTACCATTTGTATTTAAAAATAGGTATTTGGTATTCCCTAAAAGTAAATGCTTGTCATCATCATTATTACTGCTATAAATAAAAGCAAAAGTAATATACAGAGAGCTTTGACATTTAATAGGATACTTTTGCATAAGATATATAGCATATATTTGTAAAATATATTTGATCCTAATAGTGATATTCTTTTCGAAGCAGATAGTAATATAAATGTAATATATACACACACTCAGTATCATATAATTATAAAAAATTGCCAAGGAGTTAGCAACAGCAGTCATTTTTTTTTAAAGATGTAATTGATTGTTTCTATTATTTGGAAATAATAATACCCAGTATTCAATTTGCATTATTCTATGTCAAGCTCTCATAATAATCCTCATAATAACCTATTAGGTACATACATACTATGATTGTCTCTATTTTCAGATGAAGAAACTGAGGCACAGAGAGGTTAAGCAACCTGCCCAAAGTTACACAGCTATTAAGTGAGCAAGCTAGGATTTGAACAGTCTGTCTGAATTCAAAGCCTAGGATTTGGAGCTAGAAGACATGGATTTGAATCCCAGTTCCACCACTTTCCAGCTTCAGTTTACTCCTCTGTAAATGGGAATGATGATAACATCCACCTCACAGGATTTTAAGGGACAGTATTTAATAAAGTATGTGGAAACACTTTGAAAACTGGAAATGGTACATATACTATGATTTATATATGTGTATATTCAGTTATACACAATATGACTACAAAGTAATGACTGGTTTTGTGTAACCCTCCTTACACATTTTTAAAAACACATTATTATTCCATACATATGTTATAAAACTTAAAATATGTATTATATTAAGAGACTGAGTGTTACCAACTTTTGTTTGCTTCATCTTATGTAAAGAAATATATAAGAATATTTGAAGTTTTTTCTGGAAATGTTTTAAAATTGTGATCTGTTCCATTCATATAACTATATATGTACATGTATTCTATTTCTGCACTGTGTTATACTGATATAGATCTTAGGTAATAACAAACATATTTGTGTGGATTATGACATACCTGTATGTGAATGTGTACATATTTTTTTCTGTTATAAACAGGAGAACTAATTTCTCAATAAAATGAATTAAATTTGTTTGGATGAGTGAAATATTTGTTCCCTGTAGTCAGTAAATTGTTATCTGAATGAATTTCCAAAGGATATTTATTTGACAACTGAATAATAATGAAACCTAATTTAAGCAAAACAGAGGAAAATCATAAGTATTTAGGTGAGAAGAGTATCCGAACTATAAGAGTGGTTTAAAAGAAATGCAAGTTTTTACATTCTAATACAAGGAATGACAGAAATTAGGCATACCAAAATGTAGCAGAGTGCTTCTTTCAATGAATACAGATTAATGGTTTGTAACTGTGATGCCAGATTTCAGCATTGTCAGTATCCATGTACTTTGGTAAATTGTCTCAAAATTATTTTTACTTAATAGATTTCTACCCTAATGATCAGATTTCATATTAAACAAATATTGTACTTGTAGAATTTTAGTGACTGTAGTTATTAAATAACCTAGCAAGGATGATAGTTTAGTTTGTATTTTTATGTTAATAATTAGAATTGAAGTTTGTTTTTACTGAATTAGCAAGTGAATGACTTTTGTAAAAGAACTATAAACCAAACTGAAAAATTTGTTAGTGAAGCCTTTCTGCCTCAGATTAGCACATTAACTTCACTGACATGGAAAATGCTTTGGAAAAAATATTCACATGTATATAATAGGGTTAGGTAATTTTCTTTTAACTTCTCTAGGAAGCCAATGCTAGCTAATAAGAATAAATTGATGGTTCCAGAATTGATATAAATCAACATTGTGATATGTCACAATTTTCATTCATGCTTTCATGCTTCATCTTACCTAGAAAGCCTTTAAGGGCCTTGTCAGAGGGATATTACTTTTTCTTTTATTAACTTTCCAGGAGTTGCTCAATGAACTACAGAAATTTCTGGAAATGGAAAAAGATGAATTAATTTTGGAAGTTTCAAACCCACCTCCCAAGAAAATTCGACTACAAGAACTGGAAGATAGTACTGATAATCTGAGTCAAAACGGGGGGAGGATCTCTGGTATTGACGATGGAAGCATTGTTTGCAAGAACCCAAATTTAAGTGTATGCAATGTATGCCTAGGAATTCTTCAAGAATTTTGTGAGAAGGATTTCATTAACAAGGTAAATAACCTGTTTTTTTTTTTAATTATAGATGCAGTTATGTAAGGATTTTCTGTTTTAAGGTCAAGAATTATAGCAAAAGGAATAATGCCATTCATTTCAACTTGTTTGACACCAGTGGGTCATTAAAATATTTAAGCAAAAACTTTAACAAATGAAAGCCTACTATTCTCAAATTACTTTTTAATCAACATATCTGAACATGAGTGAAATGTATATCTATGTATTGCAGTCATGAGTGCTATTTAATTGAAGAAAAATATAGCAGTGTGCTTTCATTTTACTGTTTAACATAACTAAGGAGTAGAAAAAAGTTTGTTCCTAGTCATATTATTGTTTAGAAAAGAAAAGCAGTAGAGCCTTGTAAAAGGTAAATGACTGAATGTAAGTTTGTCTTTTGTTTCCTCCTGCTATGAGTGCTGTATTTGGCTTCATTTTGTTTTAAAATTGTGAAGTGACCTAATAGAAAACTATTTTGACACAACAGATTGTTCTGCAGGTATGTCAGTCCGGGCTGTTTCGGTACCTCATGATGTTAAGTCTTCAGGGTCATGGCTGGCAAATATTTAATCTCAGAACATTTGTGAGAGTTCCTCAGTCAAATATGAAGGTTTGAAAGTTTTGCCATGTCATCTCCTGGATCAGAAATTCATGTTATGAAGATGAAAGTAATATTTTCAGCAATTGCTAGGAATTTACATAATTATAATACTTTTTTAGGTGTGCCAAAAGGTTGAGGCATCTGGGTTTGAATTCACCAACTTGGTATTTTCAGTCTCCTTCCCACCACAACTATCTGTAAGAGAGGTAAGGTTATTTGCATGCATAAAACTGTATGTGAAATGCATGCTAGGAATTTCTCAAAAGAAGGAAATGTAGAAATATTCCTTACCCTATTTTTAAAATTTTGTGTACTTATGGAATGATTGAAGCATAATTTATAGCTACTTAAGAAATACTTGTTGAGTGAATGAATGAAAAAAGTAACTGGTTCAAATTCATTTCTTTGTCATATGACTGCCATTTTTTTTTAAAGGGCTTTCAATCAATAGCAGATTATTAGCTCTATGTGAGGCATGATGGTCAAGAAAAGACATTTGACCAGGTCTCTAGAGTTCTTTTTAGGTGAATATGTGCATTTCATAATAGTGCTAGGATAGGGTCATTTCAGTTATGATGAAACTTTTTAGTCTCTGGAGTAAAATATGAAAAAATGGCAACTCTTTTAAATTTTATTGTTTTAAAGATGTGGGGTATAATTCAGGATTAGGTATACAATTGGTCATTGTATAGGTAAAGTTTGGGCCTCCCTTTGGTCCCCATTTAGCCTGGTGTGAGATCAGGTACTCTTATTGATGTTATGTGCCCCTCCCTTCCCTGGCAGGTTCTGGCTACTGCCAATCCCTGACTTATAGTATTATGGTATATGTTCAGGGTCTACTTATGAGTGAGAACATGTGGTACTCAGTTCTTTGTTTCTGTGATAGATCACTCAGTGTTATAGACTCTAAATCCATCCAAGTTGCTGTGAAGTCCATAATTTTGTCCTTCTTTATGACTGCATAATATTCCATTGTGTATATGTGCCACATTTTTATTATTCAGTCCACTTTCAGTGGGTAGCACAGTTGGTTCCATGTTTTGGCTATTGTAAATAGCGCTGCAATAAACATGCATGTGCAGGTATCTTTTTTGTGGAGTGTTTTAAGTTCCTCCAAGTATATTCCCAGAAGGGAAATTGCTGGGTTGTATGGAAGGTCATTTCTAGTTCTTTTAGGAATCACCATACTGTTTTCCATAGAGATTGAACTAGTTTGCATCCTCACCAATTATGTAGAAGTGTTCCCTTTTCTCCGCATCCTCGCCAGCATCTGTTGTTTTTTGTTTTATTAATGATGGTCATTCTTACTGGAGTTAGATAGTATCTCAATGTGATTTTGATTTGCATTTTTTCTGATGATTAGTGAGGTTGAGCATTTTTTCGTGTGTCTGTTGGCTGCTTGTATGTCTTCTTTTGAGAAGTGTCTATTAATGTCTTTTGCTCAGTTTTTAATGGGGCTGTTTTTTTCCCCTTCAGCATGTTTGAGTTCCTTGTAGATACTGGATAGACATTTGTCAGATAGGCAGTTGGCAAATATTTTTTTCCATTCTGTGGGCTCTCTCCTCACTCTTTTGATGGTTTCTTTTGCTTTGCAGAAGCTTTTCAGTTTGATGAAGTCCCACTTGTCTATACTATCTCTTGTGGCTTGGGCTCTTGGGATTTTGATCAGAAATTGGTTGCCTATTCTAATTTCTATAAGAGTGTCTTCTGTGTTTTCTAAGGTTAAAATTTGAGGTTTTACGTTTAGGTCTTTGATCCATTTGGAGTTGTTTTTTTGTATAGTGATAGGTAGGGATCCTGTTTCATTTTTCTGCACGTGGTCAGCCAATTTTCCCAGCACCATTTACTGGATAGGTTCTTTTATCCCTAGTGTTTGTTGGTAGAGCCTTTGTCAAACATGAGTTGGTTGAGAAATTGAGGCTTTGCTTCTGGAATCTCTAACCTGTTCCATTGTTCTATATGCCTGTTCTTATACCACTACCAGGCTGTTTTGATTATTATAACCTTATAATAAAGTTTAAAGTGTGATACCTCCCACTTTGTTTCTTTTGCTTAGAATTGTTTTGGCTATTCGTGGGCATTTATGTTTCCATATGAATTTCTGTATTATTGTTTCCAGGACTGAGAAGAATGATGTTGGTAATTTAAAGGGTATTGCATTGAATCTGTAGATTGCCTTTGGTAGGATGGACATCTTAACCATGTAAATTCTTCTAATCCATGAGCATGGAATATTTTTTCATTTGTTTGTGTCATCTTTGATTTCTTTGATCAGTGTTTTTGTGTTTTTTGTTGTAAAGATCTTTCACTTCTCTGGTTGGAAGATAGATGGCAACTCTTCTAGTCAATTATAAAAGTGAGAAAATACTTTTCTCTCTCTCTCTCTCTCTCTCTCTCTCTCTCTCTGTGTGTGTGTGTGTGTGTGTGTGTGTGTGTGTGTGTGTGTCAGGGCTTACTCTGTTACCCAGTGGGAGTACAGTGGTATGATCATGGCTCACCACAGCCTCGACCTCCTGGACTCAGGTGATCCTCCTGCCCCAGCCTCCTGAATCTTCCTGCCCAGCCTCCTCTTGCAGGCACATACCTCCACACCCAGCTAATTTTTTGTAGAGACAAGGTCTTGCTATGTTGCCCAGGCTGGTCTTGAACTCCTGGCCCAAGTAATCCTCTCACCTTAGCCTCCCAAAGTGCTGTGATTCTAGCCATGAGACACCATGCGTGGCCCCTCATGTTTTTTAAAACTTTTTTCTTTGTAAAGTGAAAAAAAAATAGTCATTGCTGTAACATTCTATTGTGTCAGAACTGACATGAAAACATAAAGCTATCTTTGTTAATACAACTAAGTGAGAAACTTGTGTAATCTCGAATTACCATCATGGGTTCTAAACATATTAATATTAATGAATATTTATGAGGTGTCTTTTCCCTAAGAATCTCAAAGTATCAAAGGATTACATTTAAAACCATCACTTTCTTTGGAAGAGCCTGTTTATTAGCCCCAATAGGCTGAGGATGGTTGAAGCTGGATGAGATGATAGAGAAGACCTGGGAAGTGAAAAAGGGTAGAATGATTTTCAATAGTATCTTTGTTGATGACAAGATAACTGAGCAAATGGAAGAATAAAGGGGATGATGATGGTGATATGCTGGGGTTTATAAACACTTAGAGTCATTTTCTAGTCAATCATCAAAGCATTTCTCACTGATGGGTCATCTTTATGGTCCAATTTTGGTGCAAGAAACAGACTTCCAAAAGCTAAGTGACTCACAAAAAGCTGTAGTTGTTTGAGTAACAAAAATAGGAATAAGAAGTATATTTTCTGAATGTGGTTATATATCTTACCACCAAGCCCCTCTTTTCAAAGCTTATATTTTTACATTAAAATTTGTATTGTCCATTTTTATCACTTATGTGATGATTTTAGCAATATTAACTTAATATTATTGAGTATTTAGAAGTATTTATATTCCATATTAGAAATAGAAGATGCTATTTTTAAAAATAAGAATTTTTCTGCTTAAACTCTACTTTTTGTAACTGACTTTAACTAGTAAGCTATTTAGCAGAAATAATGTGACTATTCTAATTATTGAAGAATTAATACAGTTCCACAGTTTAGTGTGTTAAGTGTTTCATTTGTAATAATGAGTAACATATTTTTACCTACTCATTTCCTAAGAATAATTTGTGAAATATACAGTTTTACATGTAGTATAAATTTTCACATCCCAGGTTTCTTCTGAAAATTATGTTTATGATTCACTTTGTAATTATCTTTATTATTATGTTTTGTTACTTTATTTTTAAAGTTTTAAAAATTGTGTATTTTTAAATTTTAAAGATGTGAGGTACAATTCAGGGTGAGGTACATAAGTGGTCATTGTACATAGCAAAGTTTTAGAACCAAGTTTATTAGAGAAAGAAGGGAGAAAAGAAAGGGAGACATGCCAAAACTGGCATGGGCAAAAGAAACAACTGTCACTTTTCTTTTATTGCCATCTTTTGTTACTTCTTTTGAGGTGAGGTATGCTATGCAAGCCAGACTAGATATAAATTGCTTTTTAAACTACTTATTTTTTATCATACCCCAATTTAAACTAGTTACACATATCTTTAGAATATTCTTGAATTTTGAATATATATTTTGTGATTTCTTTTGTGCCACGTTCTAAAATATGGCTTTTAATTTAGATCTTGTAATTTACAACTTATTTGTCTGTAGAACAAACATACTGATATACTGCACACACAATTGGTTGACTGTAGTTATCTCATAATTCAGGATAGTATACAATTGAGTCCATTTGAATTATTTGATTTTTTCCACTTCTAAAAAGTAAATTATTATCACAGATCTATTGATTTGAAAGCAAATAATATTTAATCAATATGATGGTATTTTTTATGTTCTCCTTTATAGAAAAACCAGGTAAAAGGGTGAGCTCAAGTAAAGTTTTTGTTAAAAAAAAAAATTGAACTATAAAATTTGTATTAACTCATCCATAGTCTTCATTCTGATTATAATCATATTTTCTGGTTATAGCTATCATGTTTATTTACCATCATTATAAAAGCATTAATTTAAATGCTTAGAAGGAAAAGTCTGCAGTTAGTAGAATAATCATCATTTTCCACTGAGTTTGGGAGAATATGGAGGGAAGAATGGAGTATATCTTCTGAATATGTTTTGCTAAGGAACTAGCTGATCTGGTTAGGACAGCTTTAAAGTGAATACTGCCAAGGAGAAGAAGAATAAGCAGTTTGACTGATGAAACACTGTCCGATAGCAAGTAAGATATGGTGAGCAGATTACACAGAGGCTGTATCCAGGGAGTCACAAAAGATAGCATCATGGTAAGTAGCAGAACAGAATGCTTAGCGTCTCCAAAGTCTATAATGTACAAAATCTGAATGATAAAAAAGTTGACATTATAAGGGAGAGTAATAAATATCCCGACTATCATGGTGTCTACTGGATTTGGGCTTACCATTCAAGTGTGACAATGGAAGGATAAGTTCCTTTTATAAGGCTCAGATTTGTTAAAAAGAGAGATATAATAGTGTCATATGGCAAGAAATGATATTCCTGAACTGCAATCCTAAGAGTGGAAGGATGGTGAACACCATCAAAAGGAGTTTAGAAAGAGAGAGAAATGGGATCAAAGAGTGCAAGTATACTTAACTGTATACTGTCTAGTCAAAGGG